AAATGATAAATTTTCCGCGCGATGCGACGATGGATCCTCGAGGAGGAGAGATAACCTCGCGTGTACACGCGTGACACTTTCGATACCGTTATCGCGACGCGTTTCCTGTCGCCGTATTGGAAACGCGGGTAAACACACGCTTGCCTTTCTTCCCTCTTTCTTCCATCCAGGTATAATAATCGACGAGCACGAGCCTTGGCGAATTACGCGCGCGAGTACGGTGAAAGTTGGAGCGTTACTGTGCTATGCCCAGCATAGTGGCGCTTATTTTATTTTGCGAGAGGTGTGGGAGGCTGGAGTAGTTTGGAAGTTGCGTGGGAAGGTATTTTATTTTTCCTTTTTCTTTTGACACGAGGTTCGAAGGTAATTCGATAAATCGGGGAGGAATTGGAATCGGGGCAAATTTAAACAGTTTATCCGTATTCTGTGGGAAGACGAATTTTATATTTTCAAAAGAATTCGCGAATGAGAATGAAAATGCAAAGACGTGGAATTATCTTGGGTGTTTGGGCTCAATTATAACGAACGTTTCTGCAAACGCACGGTTGATTGTGCCTAAACGCGGAGGCATAAAACTCGCATTTGCGCTCACGAGAGGTGTCATTAAACGGCAACGAGTCGCGAAGATCGCCCCGTTCGTTGACTTCGTTCGCAACTTCGACCTATTCCCGCCGCCTTTACAACACGGCTTTTCGAATTTCTTTTAACTCGTAAAAAAATCCCATCCTCGCAAACTCCTTCGCGATAAAAAGGGGAAAAGGAAATGTATCCACACGCTTCTTTCTTTATCTCTCCCTAATAAACAAGAAGAAGAAGAAGAAGAAGAAAAAAGAGAGTCGTAATATTCATAACAATTTTAACGCGCACTACTTTCCTCGACGAGAAAAGGAAAAAGAAAAAACGAAGAAGAAAATAAATATCATAATCCCAACGCGATTGATCGTGATCGACGAGGCGAGTATTTGAAAAAAAGAGAAATTAAATAATAATTTTAGTTAGGCATTAGGCGCACTTCTACTTTCTCCGACGAGTAAAAGAGCAAGTAAGGTTAGAAATTAACTTTAGGGGGGGAAGAAAGAAAGAAACGAACGTGGTTAATTACGCGGTTACGAAACGGAGAGTCGAACGCGTGGTCGAGTGTCGAAGTCTCGGCGAAGATTCGGCGCGACTGCCGCTTGCTGGCGTTCAAGTCACTGGCAGCGCCCGATCAAACGGCGCTCGTGTTCTCGGGTTATAATGGCCGGCGACCGGTTCACGCGTTTCATTCAGAGAGACGTCGATGTTGCATCTATTCACGTGCGCACAATACATCATCATAAGCTACCTGTTCGACGAAAGACCGGTCACTGCTCGCTCTTGCCCGCGTTTCGAGAGTAAACAGACAGACAGAGAGAGAGAGAGAGAGAGAGAGAGAGATCGCCGTCAGGGATCGGACGACAGTGGCGGTTCGTCGATCGACACAGGTACACGGAGGTGCTAAAAACCTTTTTACTACCGGCCGGTGGAAAAAAGGAATTAGCATCTCAATGTGTACATCGGGATCGAGGAGTTTCGTTCCATTCTTATTTCAAACTAATGGAAAGAAAATTGAACAATGGAAATAAACGTGGTCTTTATTGTGTCGGTATAAATTCGACGCGTCTTCAGGTTTAGGTGGAAGACGAGATGATTCCGACATGGACTTCGTTCTTTTCCTATTCCTATCTCGATACGAACAAAAACGATCGATCGAAAACGGATAGGTGAAGATTTAGAATCTCGCTTCGAAGAGAAAAAAAATTTTCTCGACTTCCATCCGATGTAACGTTTTATTACAACTTTAAATGGATTCGCGAAAGATTGATGCCAATTTTTCAAAGAGGAATGTAATTTTTCATCGGATTCGAAGAAATCCGCGATTCCGCAAGCAACGACGGCAGAGAGAGAGAAAGAAAGAGAGAGAGAGAGAGAGAGAGAGGAGGGTTA